AGGTGGTGAAGAAGTCTCTGGATTACTTGCAGAAGAAGTCACCTCATTGTCTTCTTTCCGTGACACGAACATGGCCAAGATCAAACCAGTTGTTGATATTACAAGAGCTAGCCCAACTTTTAGAATCACCGGCTTCATAGCTCCTCCTCCTTCTCTTGGACCTGAACCATCCATTAATCTCTTCAAATAACTTTCAATTCCAAAGCTTTTCTTTCTCCGACTAAAAAACTTTCCTCGTTTGGATCATATGATCGAACAAACCGAGATTAGGGAGAATTGATTTTGTGAGGATTTTGATCAAATGATTTATAGTTATACGAAATCATGGTCTATTTAAAATATTTTATTTATTCCTTTAAGTTGTGGAGGAGACATGTCTTGTAAGATCATTATTCTTTTCCCTTGGTGTGTGTCTTTTTATATAATTGCGTTTTTAAATATGAAAATTAATCGAGATCGGTTGCTTTTTGACCATTGCTTCTTGCTTTACTCGTTTGGGAATCGGATTCTCCACTTACACGAGTCACGACACACGTGTGTACTCACACTCGCACGTACACGCATACCTACATGTACTCCTACGAGTTCCATATTGTTTATTCAGTGTGTGTAACTAACTATAAATCATATTTAACGACAAAAACGTGATCGATTTCTATTGTTCGGGATGAAATATACGTGCACAACTCACAATTTTGTCGAATAATTAAAAAGAATCATTGTGTACCTAAAAGCTAAAGCTATACTAATTTATGTGAAAACGTGATTAACGCGATTAATTTGTTGACAAAAAAATAAGTCATTCGCATTAATTTTGCATAATCGTTCTATTTTATTACCGCACTGTCTACAGGATAAGATAACAATCAACGGAGTACTATTTAGTCCATTCTCTATACACTAAATTTATCACAATAATCAAATTAAACACTTTGTTTGAGATGGTAACATGTTATTCTTATTGAAATCGATATGTGTTATTTACCTAATCTGATTGAGTGTAGTTTACAGGGACAAATAAGTTTATAATTATTCACCTAATAATGTAGTAAAAAAAAGTCATGGAATTTGTTAAATACTAGCTAGTTTTAATCAACTTGAAGTTATGATGACTTCTAGTTACTTCATGAATTTGTTGTTGTCTCAAATCACAACAATTATGGAAATCTATCAAATGATCATGTTTTAGATAGGACCGGTTTGAAATGGTGGACTAAAATAAA